TCTCCAGAAAACAGACGTCTGTTTATTACTGCTAGAAACCATTGTAAAAAGCTTTTGTCTAACGCCAAAGGCCGCTATTCTCAGATCATGAAATCTCGTATTTCATCACAAAAGTTAGGCTCTCGCGACTTCTGGAGAATCTTTAATACTATCAATAATAAGGGCAAGTCTGTAATTCCACCTCTTTTATATGGTTCAGACTGTCTCAGTTCACCTAAAGACAAAGCTGAATTGTTTGCTAAGAACTTTTCATCAATATCATCCCTTGATTCAACTAGTTGCATTCTACCTGATATAGCCATCAAACAGGTTGATCCATTGCTTGACATTCATATCACTCCAGCTTCTATATCTAAAGTGATTTCCTGCTTAGACTCTTCTACAGCTAGTGGCCTGGACAACATACCTGTTATAGTCTTCCAGAAGTGTTCTCCTGAGCTGTCGTCTATCCTTTCAAAACTATTCAACAAGTGCTTATCAGAGTCTTGTTTTCCAGCCTGCTGGTAAGCAGCATCTGTTATCCCTATTTCTCAAAATTCTGGAGAGTTATCTGATTTGTCTAACTACTGCCCCATTAGTCTTCTTCCTATTATAAGCAAGGTTTTTGAATCTTTAATTAACAAACACAATCTCTCATCTTGAATCTAATAACTTATGATCATCAATATGGATTTCGATCTTCTCCTTCTACGGCTGATTTGTTAACAGTAATAACTGATAGGTTTTATCGGGCATTAGATAAAGGTGGAGAGGTTAAGGTCATCGTTCTTGACATTTCTAAAGTGTTTGATAAGCTTTCTTCTTACGGTGTATCTGGAAACATCTTTAGGTTTCCAGAAGGCTCACAGTGGCTGGTAAACTTTAATTCAGATAAAACTCAGTTTTTTCAGCCAATTATTATTGCAATAATTTAGACCTTCCTATATTTATGAATGGCAATGTACTCGATGAGTCATATATCCTTCATCTTCTAGGATTAACTCTTACTTCCAATCTTTCTTGGAAACCATATATCAAATCCGTTGCAAAATTAGCATCTGCTAAAGTTGGATCTCTTTATCGAGGTTAACACTTTCTTACTCCAGATTCTATTCTCTATCTCTATAAATTTTAAATCGGCCTTGTATGGAATACTGTTGCCATAACTCGGGCGGATCTTTTAATGATGGCCTTTCTCTTTTTAGACAAGGTGCAAAAATGCATTGTAAACATAGTTGGACCTGCTCTTGCAGCCAAACTTTAATAATTATCATATCTTTGTAATGTTGCTTCTCTTTCTCTTTTCTACAAATACTATAATAAGCACTGCTCTAAAGAGCTAGTTTCTCTTGTGCCATTTACTAAAATTTATTCTCGTGTTACTCGTCATTAAATTAAATTAAATTAAAGTCTCATCCTTTTTTTGTGACTGTTCTTAAGTGCTCCAAAAACTCTTATTCCTCTAGTTCTTTTCTCAAACATCAGTTTTTTGGAATTCGCTTCCTTCATCTTGTTTTCCTGATTCATATAATTTGTAATCTTTTAAGTTGTCTGTCAATCGTTATCTTGCTCAACAATCTTCATCTTTTCTCTTCTAGTAACTTTCAACTCTAATTACTAGTGCTTGCAGCCTTGTTGGAAGCGAAGATGTTTAAAAATGGAAAATGTAAAGTCAAAAAAATTTAATCAATTGGATAATCAACAGTCACGGTTTTTGCAAAAAAAAATTTTAAGCCTAAAGAATTTTTTTACAATACAATAAATAACGCTTGTTATGTGCATCATTAACATGTTCTATGAACATGTTAATGATACACATGTTATACTCCGTAATAGATACACATGTTATACTCCGTAAATAATGATACACATGTTATACTCCGTAACCTTGTAAAAATACCAACTCCAAATAGCTCCGGAGCCAGAGCTATTTGGAGTTGGTATTTTTACAAGGAGCTAAAATATTTCTAGGTGAAGCTGGCTCCGGAGCTGGCTCAAACCTATCTCCCTTTTTGATAATTTGGAAGATCAAAGTATGAGTTAAATTGTAATTAATAAAGTCAATTAAAATTTTAGGATTTCTAAATAAAGCATTTTATACTTTGATATTGATATTATGTTTAGATTCTGTGTGAAGTATTTGATGCTCATCGTGAAGCACTTTAAATTTTAATATTTTACAAATTATACTTGAGCTGATTTATATAAATTGAAATACAATTAGATAAGTGCTAGAGTTTTTTTTCAAATTAATTTTGATCAAATTGTTTTTTGTAACATGTCATGTAATATGTGCTGTAATTGTTTATTTAACACAATTTTAAAAATAGCTAACTTAAAACATGCATGGAATTTGTCAAGTTGACACATTTCTATAGCAATTTTTTGTTTTTGTAACGGTTTGTCTAAGTTTTTTGTTTGTACTGGGTAGCCCTTTAATCTTCTCACTTTAACCCATTACCTAACTTCCCTTCAGCCACAAAATTATTTAAACACAAAAAAATTTTCTGGCTAAGAACATTTGAGATATCTTACATGAACTCTCTTAAGACCCTCTTAGTTGTTTCCACTTTCCATTAATTCATTCACTTTAACAATTCATCGCTGACTATAATATCAAATAATGGTTTATTAACACTCACTAACACAGCACTAATAGTTTTTTTCATTCACAGTTGGTACAAAAACTAAATCTAATTACTCCTAATAGCAACCAAAAATCCTTTATCTATTACTTTATACTATTACATTTGAATTATGTTTGTTGAACAATATGATTTATAAATGATTTATACACAAATATTATTCTAGGTCTTGATTTTTAAAAAGAACATAAATCTAGAAGCCTAAATTATGTAAAATGAAAAGAAAAAAGACTTTCACATTTAACTTGGGTTGTGAAAGTTAACCTAGCTTATATGGAAATTTATTAACCTGTTATTTCAAAACATCAATATATCATCATATATGTATTTTTAGATTATATATTGCTATTGAATAAAACCTTTATCAAGAGGTCTTCATTTTATGAGTTTGTAACATTAAAAAATGTGTTGGAATTTGTGTAAAACAGTTACTAGATATGTTGTACTATGGTTCAACACATCCAGCAGCTGTCAAAAAATCAATATTGATAAATGCTGCTGAAATATGAATTAAATTTCTTATTTATTATTATAGTTATTTTCTTATTTTATTTTTTTAATTGTTATTTAGGTGCCCCAAGAAGATTTAACGGTCTTGTCAACGAAGCACCGCGGAGTGCATTTAACCGGGAAGTTCACGCCTCCTTCCTTACCGTGACGCGTAAATATGTCCAGCTCGTTTCGAGTATTCTTAGAACAAGTATTTCAAGATGTACACAAGCTTGCTGTGAGGATTTGTCAAAAGGCATATACAATGCAAGTTAAACATGGATGGCAAGTTTTGACTTGAATACTGATTATTTTATGGAATGAAATTGCAATGGTGTATACTTTTTTATAAATTTTTAATTTTTCATGTACATTAATATCATTTATATGTTACATACTGTATCAAATTATTGAATGTGTAATATTTATTTAATGTAACTTAATAGTATTTTTATACTTTTTTTAACATGTGCAATGAATAGAAAAATGTTTTAACATTTATATATATACATACATACATACATACATACATATATACATACATACATACATACATACATACATACATACATACATACATACATACATACATACATACATACATACATACATACATACATACATACATACATACATACATACATACATACATACATACATAAATACATACATACATACATACATACATACATACATACATACATACATACATACATACATACATACATACATACATACATACATACATACATACATACATACATACATACATACATACATACATACATACATACATACATACATACATACATACATACAAACATACATATGTACATACAGGAGCTCAAAAATGTAAAGAGGCTTATGGACTACTTTTGGGGGGAAAAACTTAGACTTCTAGGCTAGAGGAACAATTAATTTTGAACAAGGATTTTTTATGTAAAATGACTTTTATCTTATAATCATTTTAATGATTCTTTATGTAAAAACTCCAGGACTCCAGGCTTATTTCAAGAATTTTATTTTTACTAGGATTATAAGTCACTCTATATTTTTAGATTTTTTAAACACCAGATATCAGAAAAAAATATAGATATAAAGTCAGAGTCATTTGGGACACTATCTGAAATAAAGAATATTTTTAAACTCTTAAACCACTACAAAATAAAGCAATGAGAACTATCCTTAAATGTAATTGGTTTACTTGTAGTAATAAGTTTGATGGATTGAATTAGTTATTGATTAAACAAAAAAAATTATAGCAAAAGTCATTACACTCATTCATAATGACAAAAAAATATTTTGTGTTCAAGAATACATGGCTTAGAAAAGAAGATATACGTTATCATTATACCAGTATAGCTAGCAAATATCATATTCTACAACAAAATAAAAATGCAGATCAAAAAACTACATTTTCCAAAAAAAAATTGTATAACAGTTAGCCAACTTAGATCAAAAATGTGGACAATAAATTACAAAACAAGTGAAAAACTAATAGTTTTTGACAATAATATTGTCAATATAGTCAGCATAGTTGTCAATGCAGTCAGCAAAGTTGTCAATACTGACTGTATGTGTACATAGAAACAGTTATAATAACAGTTATATGTTATATTTATCAGTCGATTTTAAATAGCACGCAATTGCTAATCATATTCAAATAACAACAACAACAATATTAATAATAATAATAATAGCAATAATAATAATAATAATAATAATAATAATAATAATAATAATAATAGCAATAATAGCAATAATAGCAATAATAGCAATAATAGCAATAATAATAATAGCAATAATAATAATAATAGCAATAATAAAAATGACAATAATAATAATAATAGCAATAATAACAATAAAAATATCTGTTAAGGCACATACTTAATTAGTTTTATCACTGAACATTTATAACAATTATCCAAAAAATACCGTTTTCGTCTTGTTTATATGCTTGTCTGATATGCTTTGATATCCATTACATGCGGAAAATAACTTACCGAATGCAACGCAAACACAAATACCATACTGAAACCTAAGTAAAGAAAGTTTCGACAAATACTTGAGGGACAAATAACTTAGCTCATTTTAGTTGAGTTTTCTACGTACACCCAGCCTGCAAATTCTGACACCTCCTCAAAACTATTAGGACTGCATCAGTCTAAAAATTTCCTACTGGTATTTGTACCGCAAATACCATTAAAAAAGCAAACCTCAGTATTTTTTTTAGTCTTTACTTTTGCAGAAAACTGTATTAAGTATGTGTAGAGTTGCTTAAAATTAATTCTTCCCAGTTAGCTTGAATACTTTTTTAGGAATAATTTTGTTGTTAATGTCAACAGAAATTTTAATATTTTTGGTGTGTGTACCCTAAAAACCGCATTTGGATTATTAGTTGTATCATTGCAGTCAGTTAATCGATAAACTTGAAATTTGGCGTGATCTAATATTACTTGATTTGCATAAAATAAATATAGTTCCTGATACCTAAGGCTTGGAAGAAATATATATGATCCACAAAAAAGTACTTATATATAATTATGTAAAAAAAGTACTTATATATAATTATGTAAAAAAGTACTTATATATAATTATGTAAAAAAAGTACTTATATATAATTATGTAAAAAAAGTACTTATATATAATTATGTAAAAAAAGTACTTATATATAATTATGTAAAAAAAAGTTTCTTTCAAAGTTTAAACAACCTTGTAATTAGCTTAATATCAGTTTACAATAAAATAAAGTAAAAAGTTATAGATTGTTGCCATAATTATTATTATTTTTCAAGACGCAATAAAGAGAACTAATCGTTTTCGATTGCAGAGTAGTTTAGATTCATTTTTTAAAGCATCGAAGAAAGAAAATTTTGTTGAAATACCTTCAACTAGTTTTACTGCTACTATTAAGGATACTAAAAGAACAAATGAATTCAAAATCGCATCAGCATCGCCACTGGTGCATCAGCACCACCACTGGTGCATCAGCACCACAACCAAAAACTAGTATTAGTATTGCAATTCAACATCTTGAACATGAGAAATCAGATTTACTAGATAAAGACATAAAACGGAGAAAGGCAGAGAAGGAATGATATCTCACTTGACATAGCTATGTTTGTTACGGAAAATGAACATAACAGTCTCGACCTGACTCGCAACCACTAAAATTAGTCAAGCATGTTTAAGTCAAATTTCAAGAAGCTACCAACTGATCTTTTTGTTGTTTTTGATTTGTGTGTCCAGGTGTAATATCCAATCACTCACAAGTTGTTTCAAATTATAGAGTCAAGAACGTAGCTTCTCAACCCTGCGAAGAATTAAAAATTGGCTGAGAACAAGAATGACAGAAAACAGACTAATAGATTGGCCTTACTTAATGTGCACTAAGAAATTCAAGTAAATGTTGAAAACGTTTTGTGAAGTCAGGAAATCGTAAATTAGAATTTGTGATAAGTCGGGAAGTAGTAAATTAGAAGTTGTTAAAATAATCAACAATTCAATTATGCTTTTTTTATAAATAGCAACAAAAATACTAATAACTATTACTAGTGAAAGAAGGCTGTATAATAATGGATACAAAGCATACAGACCACAGAAGTAGCCACAGAAGCCAGCCATATGGTAGAAGAGACTCAATTTGGCATTATAGCGCTCAAACAGGTCAGTGATTATTGGAGTAAGATATGCACAAATTTACTGTAATGTTTGATAAAAGTACATATAATTGCAAACAAAAGGATACAAAAGGATGAGAAATAATATAAATATACAAGATCCATTGATAATCTTAATTTAAAGTTGCTTCGAATTGATTATACATCAATTGCATCAATAAATTAGTTAATATTGTTTGTAGGTATGTTGGTATCATGGTGAAAAAGAGTCTACTTTGTTAAAAGAAAACAAGAAGAAGTAAATCTACTAGAGTGTATACAAGAAAGTGTCAAACATAAATGAAAAAAAAAGTTTTGAAGTGTTATTTCAGTGAAATGTCTTAGAGGTTTATATTTGGTCAAGTGAATAATGCGTCACGATCAGAAAATGAAATTACTGAAAACGTGTTTATTGCCATCTGTCTGTAGTGAACTTTTTCAAAGATTTGAGTGTTAAAACGGCTTAGTAATAGCCCGAACTATAATCCAGCTGAAGATTTGTAGAATAAACTGCAGTAAGAGGTCCTGAAAACAGCATCAACTAACACCACACAGCCTAAAAAGGAACATATAGCAAACTCAAAACATTTGTATATTTATACTTATGTCAAATAATTATGCTTTGTAAAACATTGCAATGATTGGAGGCTAAGAACAAAATTGCCTTTAAGTTTCATTTCCACCCCTACCCCAAAAGTGAGTAGCAATAATTTGATAAAGTATTTTTTGTATTATTCTCGATTAGACTTATGTTCATCAATAAATTTAAAATTTCATAGTAATATTCCTCAGCGTTCAAAAATTATGACCATATAAAATTTAACCCCCCCCCCCCCATCCCTCAGAATAAACATATAAATGTTTATACTGGAGGATGTTTGGAGCTTGCTCCAAGTCTGGAAGTCTCAAAGAACAAAAAATGCTGGATCCGTCACTGATATATATATATATATATATATATATATATATATATATATATATATATATATATATATATATATATATATATATATATATTTATATATATATATATATATATATATATATATATATATATATATATATATATATATATATATATATATATATATATATATATATATATATATATATATATATATATATATATATATATATATATATATATATATGATATATATATATATATATATATATATTCTTTCTTAAGATAGTTTCAATTATTGTTGGAAAGTTATACTGAAAATGTTTAGGATACAAATCAAGATTTATTTATAAACTAAAACCTCTAAAACAACATGGTTTCGTTAAAAGCAAAGCTTGTGTAATAAACCTCCTAGAAAAACTTGATTTCGCAACTGAATCAGTTGCAAACAAACATCCTATCGATATAATCTTTCTTGACTTTGAAAAAGTTTTTGACAAAGTCCCTCAAAAAAGACTTTTAGATAAAGTATTCAAAAATGGAATTTAAGTCAAAATTCACAAATGGTTAGACTCCTTTCTATCTAACCGAATACAACGTGTTGTTCTTGGAGAATCGATTTCAGAATAGGCTGATGTTGTAAGTGGAGTTCCACAAGGCTCAGTTCTTGGTCTATTATTATTCGTTATTTATATCAATAACCTTCCTGACAATCTCTCCGTTCTACCTCAAATGTATGCTGATGACACTAAATTACTTACAAAAATAAATTTAAAATATATCAAAAACAGTATAAGTATACTCCAATCCGATTTAGACAATGCTATTAACTAGACTAATACATGGCTAATGCGTCTTAATATAGATTAATGTAAAGTTATACATGTTGGTAACAATCTTATGTCAAACTACACTATTACCAATTACAATACAAATATGAGACTTAATCTTGCAAAAACTACCTGCAAACAAGATCTTGGTGTTTTATTATCATACAACCTTAAATCTTCATCACAAGTAAAGCTGCCTCATCAGCTTTTAAAATAATTGGTCAATTCAAACCTGCTTTTGTCAGACGTGATGTTAATCTCTGGAAGAAATTATATACTTGCTACGTACATCCACACCTTAAATTTGCAGTTGAAGCATGGAATCCTCACCTCCAAAAAGATATAAATCTTCTTGAATCAATGCAAATTTAACTTACTTAAAACATCCTAATTTTTAAATAACAAACTGATGCGTTATTTAATCAGTGAACGTAATCACTAATTAGTGAACGTAAGTTCACTTATCACTGAACGCAAGGAAGTTAGTAATCGTAGTTTAAAAGAAAACATTTATGTAGATTATTTACTAATTAGGTTGAAAACTTTGACTTGCTTGAAAGTGCTCAATTGGTAAAGAGTTTTATATTCAGAAAAACTAAGAAAATTGGTGGAAGTAATGTAAGCGGTTTATTGAAAAAAATGCTATAAAAGCATGCAAAACAGAGAAGCTGCGTTGCAGTATTAATTAAACTTGGAAACAGATTGACATCAATAATAATGCACCAAGAATAATACAAGGCCAGAAGCATCAAACTTTAAAGTGATTACAAGTAGTGTTCTAGAAGGATTGATAATTCTTCCATATCATTTATAATATATATAAGGGCGATTTCGGCTTTAGCTGGCTCCCCCGCATTTCTAAAAAATTGGCCTTTAGCAGGGTTTATTTACGAAAGAGGGAGGGGGCTCTATATTTCCTTTTTTTAATTTTTTATTTTAGGTGCACCAAAAAGTCTTTACGATCTTATCACAGAGCACCGCGGAAGAACGTTTGAAAGGAAGTTCACCCCTTTATCCTTACTGATTATATAAAACTTGTCCAGAGGTTGCATTGAATCACGGATCTCTAACTTCTAAGGCAAGCGCGCTATCCGCTAAGCTACGGCTGCTCAATTTTTCAAATAATCCTGCTTTATTTTTTTAAATCCAACTCGTAGGATAGCACAGACATCACCACAAGCAGACCAACTAATTTGCAAGAGATTTTTTGGTACTTTTAGCAAAATTGACTTTTGGTTGTCGTTGTAATGTGAAAATCAAAATAGACCAACAATGAGAAAAATTTTTTTTGAAAAAGTTACACAATTTACAGAATAACAAAAGAGTTAAAACTAATATAAAACTAATATAGAACTCAGAAAAAAATATTTTTTTCCTCCTATCAGTCTAACAAGTGGACATAATTTTATAATAAAAGTAACTGTAAAAAAACATGCAAACTGGATATAAATTCTTAACAAGCTTATAAATCTGGAATAAATCTGATTTCACCGTAAAAAGCGAAAGTTCAAACTTATTTAAAGCTCGCATTGATAAATATTTGAAACTAAAGATTTGTCATTTTTTTGTTTATTTTGTTTACTTAGAAAAACTCGACAGTTTATTTGTTGTCAAAGTGAAACTAATTACTATCAATTTCATTTATAGTTTTTGAACGACTTCAGTTTTCTATTATATTATTTCTAAAATGTTCGCTTGACTGTAAACCAAAAGTGTTTTTTTGCACAAATAACTATTATTATTGACAATATTGTTTGAGCAGGCTGCAACTTCATTAAAGGGTCAAAATATCTTTTTTAAACTTTGAACATTTTTTTTTTCTATTGCATTAAAACTTAAGAGTTTGTGATCTCGGAAATTAAGGAAAATATTTGGAAGGTACTTCTTTTTTTTGTTGCACGATCTTATTAAATCAGATGCACGTTCAATAATATGATTGATTTGTTTCCGTAACATTATTTTTCCACTGTACTAGTCGATATCATTTTAACAACTTTATTTAAGAATATGTACCATAAACCTTTTCTCCAGTTTTAACATAAGAATTCAATATTTTGCCATAATCGGGTTTCCAATTTTATCAACATATATGACTTGTATTTATGGTAGTTTTTTAATTCCAAGTTAACCATAAGCAAAGTTACAAGTTCCAAAACTAGTTGTCGTAAATTATTTGTTCAGAAATGACTGGAGATGTACTTTTTACTAGGAAATAAGTATTTTGGGAGTATTTATATTGACGAAATCATTCAAAAAGTCGTGGCTTCCTGTTCAAATGTAAAACTTGATTTTCTCACTTCAAATAAGAGTTTTACAAAAAGCAACTATTTTCACAAAAATGAAAAAAAAAAAAAAAAAAAAAAAGAAATAACTTAAATACATACAAAATAATGGTCAGTAATCTTTTGAGATATATAAAACAGACAACTTTTTTATTTTCCTTATGGCTTTTAGCAAAAATTGATTTCAAAATTGTCTAGGTAATGAAAAACTTCTACATTTTTGTTATTAAGAATGAGAATTTTTAAGACTGTTTCCAAAAATAATATTTATTACTTTTACATGTTATGTAAATATTACAAGGTGTTTACTTTGTGCAGTTAATCATCATTTAGCGCTGTAAAAATGAAGAGATTTAAAAATGCTGTCATTTAGTGAGTCATTGGTGTCGTGGAGTCATTTGGTGAGTCATTGAGTGCAATAAAGGTATATCTAAATAGGTATATTTAAGGAAATAAGCAGATAATTTGATTTTTTTTAAATTTTTGGAATTTTATGGTAATGAGTTTTTATAGGCAACTTGTGGTTTTTTCGGAAACAGACTTGACAGTTACACCCCTCCAGGTGAACAGTGCAGTAGCGTATGATACGCTGTTGATCGCGTATTTCAGATATTTATTATTACTGTGCAGACTTATATATTGAGCTAGAATGCATACATTGACAATTATGGTGAGCCAATAATAATTACAAGTTAATGCAGTACTAAAAAAAATATTTTTATAAACTACTTTTATGCCATTTGTCACAAAAAGAACTTGGGTTTGTCAAAACCCATTTTACCCGCCTTTCACATAACCTCCACGGAGACCTTCCGGGTTACGAAAATTTTATTTATTAAAAAAACAAAACAATCCGGCAATTGTTGTAAAATGCCAGGTTTTAAAAAATGTGTCAGCTTTTTAAATACTTTAACGCCGGGTAAATTAGAGTTAAGCTGCTACTCCGGTAGTGCTACTACGATGAATTCAGTTTTTGAACTTTCGAAATTGATAGGTAGACTGGCACTAATTAAATAAAATCAAAACAAAGTGAATTTAGCTTCGTTTGTTTATTAGTTTTAGCAAAGTGTTAATAAAGCGAAGTACGTCAGACGTTGTCCTTTAGAACAGCTGAGCTGATGTCCTGTAGCTATATTTTTGGAAGTATTAGGAGTTTTTTATTTTGCGAATGAATACATTTATTTTATGGATTAGTTTTTTTTAAAACAACTAATCAAACAGTATCAAGATTTGATTAAAGCAATGCGATTTTGCCATAAACAATGTGAAATTTAAAGTTTGCATTTAGTTTCACTGTTTACGTTATATTTGTAAAGCTTTTTCCCCTAATTTATGTAAACTTATATGTGTATTGGCATCAAATATTTGATAAAAATATTATCCGTTGTTTTAATTAGTTTTTATTTTATTTATTATTTTTATTTTATTTTTTAGTTAGTTGTAATTATCAATAACAATTTTTTCAATGCCTTTTTATTATTATTATTATTATTATTATTATTTTTATTATTGTTAATTTTTTTTATAAGTGTTGTTTGAAATATAATTTTAATTAATTAATTATTGTCAAAATTTAGTGTTGGTATTTTTTAAACTAAATGTAACTTTTAAGAGAAAACTCAAACCCTATAATACTTTTATTTAATCTTTAAAATAAATTAGACAAAATTAAAGCAATAAGTATAAATAAAAAAATGATAAATAATACCAAAAAATATTTAAAAAGATATTTTGAAAATATATTTATTTAATCAAATCAGTCATTTCTATTATTTTTAGGTATAACTTTTTTGATCATTTTTTCGTTTGATAATTGCAAATATGCAGTATTTATATCAAATTATTAAATTAAACAATATTGAAAAAGTTTTTTGATTAGGATTTTTTTAGTATTATTATTATGATTAACATTACTTAAGATGATTATTGTTAATATTGTTTATTATTACTAAATTTCTATTATTGTTGTTGTTGTTGATATTGTTATTACTTAAAATGACTTTCAGTCAATACACATAAATAGGTTATAACAATTTGTTTTTTTAATTAGATAACATATTCTTTTAATAAGATGTTTTTGAATTTTAAAAGTGCTGTAATATTTATAATTTTAAATGTACATTTTTTCTTGATTCAAATTTATTGACTGTGATTTCTTTATATAAGAAAATGTTTTATGCAGTAAAATTAAAAAAAAAGAAATAATGATTATTTGAAACATTCAATTCAACTTGACTATATTTGATAAAATTGAAATCTGAATCTCTGCTGTGGGGAAAAAAACTTTTGTTCATAAAATATTTAATTATTTTTTAAGTGAAAATACGAAAAGTTATATGGTTTGGTAAATGATAAAAATACACATTATACTTATCTAATATTATAAAACTTAAACAAATCACTGAAACAACATTTATAAATACTTTTTTATTGCACTATTATGTATGCGGTTATGAAATATACCAATATTAATGTGTACATCAACAAAAGTGTTATCTATAGTATTGTGTTATCTATAGTATTATGCATAATGCAAATACATGTAAGTGTAATATATGTAATAAATGTAATATACATAAAGATAAATAAATACATATATATGCATAATATATATATATATATATATATATATATATATATATATATATATATATATATATATATATATATATATATATATATGTAAATGTATTTGTAGTATGCATAGTATTAGTTTATGTATATGTATGACATTTAAGTTATGATTTTAATTTAATAAAACTTTGAATAGCAGTATATATATTTCAAATTTTTTATACTTTGATGCTTTCAATTGATCATATTTTATATCTGGCTATCAAACACAACTGAAAATACAACTGAACCAGATATTAGGGAAACAGCTTCTATTATTGTGATTGCTTTATTAGTTGCTTATGCTTAGATAAATAATATACAATGGAGTTAAGAGTTGGTAATCGTTATCGCTTGGGTAGAAAGATTGGCAGTGGATCATTTGGAGATATTTATTTAGGTAATTACATTTGTTTTTTAATAATAAATTCTAATAATATATTTGTTTTCAGTATCTTACAAAGCATTAACATTACATCATCTTTTTCTTATTTCTACAAATATGTTCATGTTCGCTCTTTGCGAGCATGATAATATGCAAGCATGTTTAATTTATTATACATGCTCGATTTTATCTTTTATTTTATGTCTCTTCATGCTCTAAAAAGTTTTGTTCTGGTTTTTTTCCCAGTGCCTCAACACTTTGGAACTCTCTTCCATTTTCATGTTTTCCTGGCTCTTGCAACCTACAACTTTTCAAGTCTACTGTCAACCGTTTGCATGCTGTATAACTATTCTTTTTTTCTAGTAACCCAGTAGTGGCTGTTTGAGTAAATCAGAATAAAAATAAAAAAATTTAAAAGTTATAAAACTATAAAATATAATATTATTGTTTATAGTTTTACTTTTATTATTTGTTATTTAATAATTTTTATTATTAAATCTTAAAAATTTGAGATTAAAGTCACCAATAAAAAAAATATTGGCAGAGGTTACTAGAAAGGGCTTAATTAATTTGATCAGAAATAAAATTAAAATATGCGTAATCTTGAGTAAAAAAAAATGATAAGAACAAAGAGAATTTGCTTTTCTGAGATTTACCACAAAGTTTGGGAAACCTTACTACTACTTAGATTCAGAACTATTAAACTGAGTTTTAGAGCTGTATCTTTATAAGGTGATGTTATATTTATAGTGCATTCTAAAACCATGGTGTCATTTCCTGTTGTTAAAAACTTGAGGCTTCAGCGAACCATATATATTAATTATGTTCTACCATTAATTTTATCACTGCATTTTATTTACATTAATATTGTTATTGTAGTAACTTTATATATTTGGTTGAGGCCTGATATTTAATGTTGTATTTTATTGCGAGTTCACAATAACTTAAAATAAATAAACAGTTAAATTGGTAAAAATAAAATTTAAATTTTACAAAATATTTAAGTACACCATCAATATTAAAAGTTTACCCATTATGAAGTAACATAAACTAATTAAGATGTTAGTGCCAATAAATAAAGCATAAATAATTCTTTTATTATGTATTAGTATTTATTATTCAGTATTAAAATCAATAATGCTGTATTCTGTATTTATATCAGAATTAATAAAGAGTTTACAAATTTCCTTGTTATAACAATATTATTTGTATCT